ATACACATTTAACTTCTTGTAACATACATTTTGGCCCCTTAACTTTTCTATTTTAGTTATACACACTTAACTTCTTATAATGTATATTTTGGCCCCTTAACTTTTCTATTTTAGTTATACATACTTAACTTCTTGTAATGTACATTTAGCTCTTAAGTTTTCTATTTTAGTTATAAACACATAACCTCTTGTAATGTTCATTTGGCCCCTTAACTTTTCTATTTTAGTTATACACACTTAACTTCTTGTAATATACATTTTGCCCCCTTAACTTTTCTATTTTAGTTATACACACTTAACTTTTTGTAATGTACATTTAGCCCCTTAACTTTTCTATTTTAGTTATACACAGTTAACTTCAGGTAATGTACATTTTGGCCCCTTAACTTTTCTATTTTAGTTATACACACTTAACTTCTTGTAATGTACATTTAGCCCCTTAACTTTTCTATTTAAGTTATACACACTTAACTTCTTGTAATGTACATTTTGGCTTCTTAACTTTTCTATTTTAGTTATACACACTTAACTTCTTGTAACGTACATTTTGGCCCCTTAAATTTTCTATTTTAATTATACACACTTAATTTCTTGTAATGTACATTTTGGCCCCTTAACTTTTTTATTTTAGTTATACACACTTAACTTCGTGTAATGTACATTTAACCCCTTAACTCTTGTTGAATCTTTATTTGCATCCCTTACGTGCTTTTAAACACAAGGAATAGAAACATTTGTGTTTATTCCTGAGCTATTGTATGACCATGAGTAATAGACATAACATCATCGGGATTAATTAGTTATTGTATATATTTTTTTTGACAGTTAATTAGTCAAGTAATACTATTAAATGAATACTAAGAGCATCTCCAACTGCTATTATATTCATAAAAAAATTTGCTCTAAAAATTATGTTAAAACTATCCTTTAAAATATAAAAAAATGAAAAAATCTCGAAATTAAAAAAGAATTATATAATAATGTCAAGATTACACAACAAATATTGAAATATTAAAAAATAGTGTAATAATTAATACAAATTCAACTAATTAAATAATCGACTTAAATCAAATCTTTAATATTATTTTGAAAACTCAAAATAAAACAAATAAAGACCGAACTAAAACCAAATCTACGTTTCAATTTTTACCACTTTAGGGTCATAAAAAAATCACTTTTAAATAAACTAGAGGAGTACTCGCACAATATAGCGAGATACATCTTGATTTTAATATTTCATTTTATTCTTTATCTCATAAATGTTATAATATGTTCTTNTTTAGTTATACACACTTAACTTCTTGTAATGTACATTTAGCCCCTTAATTTTTCTATTTTAGTTATACACACTTAACTTCTTGTAATGTACATTTTGGTCTCTTAACTTTTCTATTTTAGTTATACACACTTAACTTCTTGTAACATACATTTTGGCCCCTTAAATTTTCTATTTTAATTATACACACTTAATTTCTTGTAATGTACATTTTGACCCCTTAACTTTTTTATTTTAGTTATACACACTTAATTTCGTGTAATGTACATTTAACCCCTTAACTCTTGTTGATTATTTATTTGCATCCCTTATGTGTTTTTAAACACAAGGAATAGAAACATTTGTGTTTATTCCTGAGCTATTGTATGACCATGAGTAATAGACATAACATCATCGGGATTAATTAGTTATTGTATATATATTTTTTGACGGTTAATTAGTCAAGTAATACTATTAAATGAATACTAAGAGCATCTCCAACTGCTATTATATTCATAAAAAATTTGCTCTAAAAATTATGTTAAAACTATCCTTTAAAATATAAAAAAATGAAAAAATCTCGAAATTAAAAAAGAAGAAGAAAATATATAATATCTTTATTAGAGATGCTCTAAATAGTCGGATAATGAGGTCAATCATGGTTTAATTGGTATCAATATAATAATGTCAAGATTACACAACAAATATTGAAATATTAAAAAAATAGTGTAATAATTAATACAGATTCAACTAATTAAATAATCGACTTAAATCAAATCTTTAATATTATTTTGAAAACTCAAAATAAAAAAATAAAGACCGAACTAAAACCAAATCTACGTTTCAATTTTTACCACTTTAGGGTCACAAGAAAATCACTTTTAAATAAACTAGAGGAGTACTCGCACAATATAGCGAGATACATCTTGATTTTAATATTTCATTTTATTCTTTATCTCATAAATGTTATAATATGTTCTTRTGTGATTTTGAAAAAGCGATGATGTTTTTATTTTTGAATAAAATATAAAATTGAARATATCATAAAAATTTGATAAAACTATATCAATGTTAGTATCAAATAACTATTTAAAATTCCTCATTTTTGTGTAATTTTTAAATTCAATTTTTATGTTATAATTTAATTTAGGTTTAACGAAGTAATTTATATTTGGTTTAATAATATAATTTT